GGGCCCACAACGTTAATGCAGACTGAGAAGGGGTGGTGTCCTGTAGTAGAATACCCCACACATGTCCTACCTCCGGCGGTGCCCAGCACTGCAGTGCAGACTGGGAAGGGGTGGTGTCCTGTAGTAGAATATACCCACAATGTCCTACCTCCGGCGGTGCCCAGCACTGCAGTGCAGACTGGGCAGGGGTGGTCTCCTGTAGTAGAATATACCACACCATGTCCTTACCTCCGGAGGGGCCCAGCACTGCAGCGCAGACTGGGAAGGGGTCGTATCCACCGTCCTCACAGGCAGGTCGGTCGAGCTCGGCAGGCACAGCTGCTGCGAGGAGGGCTCCAGGCCCGTCTCTCGAGCGATATAGTCCTGCGGAGGGAAGGGGGAGGGAGGGTCAGGGCTCCAGGCCCGTCTCTCGGGCGATGTAGTCCTGCGGAGGAGATGAGGGAGTCAGAGCTGCTGAGGAGATATAATTTTACGCCAGTATTCAGGCTACGTGCCGGTATTTAATCTGGATAATAAATAGCTATAAAATCATGCCAAATAGATAGACATGCTCGGGTACAGCCGTCTCGGTCTCGGTCTCTCTCTCTCTCTCTCTCTCTCTCTCTCTCTCTCTCTCTCTCTCTCTCTCTCTCTCTCTCTCTCTCTCTCTCTCTCCTCTCTCTCTCTCTCTCTCTCTCCCTCTCTCTCTCTCTCTCTGACTGACCTGCAGTTGTCCCATGGTGGTACTCTCCGATATCTCGGCGTGTAGCAGCTGACAGGAGTGTTCACAAACACCGCTACCACCCTCCTCTGTAGCAGCTCCTGGAGCTGACGGAAAACTATCACAGGTCCTGGGGCCGCCTCCGGCCCGGCCTGGGGAGCGGAAACAGAGACGTCAGTGCTCTGACTGACAGGAGTCAGAGAGGATCAGAACAGTAACCCGGCCTGGGGACGGGAAACAGAGGCGTCACAGATCTGACTGGCACGCGGCAGAGGGATCAGAACATAGCATACAATATGTAATGGTATTCTAGGAGTTGTATTGTCATTTTCTGTGAGAAAAACAAAATGTCTACCTCTTCTAAATTATGTAAAAAAGTGAGCTTAATTTAAGAACGTTTCATCCTTCGTTGTATACAGTTTGCTAACCGGCACTGCCATAACGCGTTTCAGAACACAGCGGTAACAGAATAAGACTATTAAAAACTAGTCAGGCTATGCAATATGCATGAACTGTGAGTTCCACTCTCATTAGTGTCCCACTGTGTTCCACTCTGTGTTCCACTCTGTTCCACTGTCTGTTTCACTGTGTTCCACTGTCTGTTTCACTGTGTTCCAATCTGAGTGTTTCACTGTGTTCCACTCTGTGTGTCCCACTGTGTTCCACTTTGTGTGTTTCACTGTGTTCCACTCTGTGTGTCCCACTGTGTTCCACTCTGTGTTCCACTGTGTTCCACTCTGTGTGTCTCACTGTGTTCCACTGTGTGTGCTCCATGACTGTGCGTGTTTCGGACTGACCTGCGCCGCCCCCTGTGCCGGTGTCGACATCGCCATCCCAGCCAGTCCCTCCTCCAGCCCCCGCTGTCCTCCCGCTCCGTGAGCTGACTGTGGGGAGCCGGCGGCGGCGGGAGGCAGCGGCCGGCCGCGCCGCCGCGGCTCCCAGTCCAGCAGTCGGCGCAGCCACCCCTCCAGGTGGTGGCGCAGCGGACTGAGGAGGAGGGGGGGGGGGAGTCAGTCCGGGGGCTGCGGGGCGGGGGGAGTCAGTCAGGGCCTGCGGGGCGGGGGAGTCAGTCCGGGGGCTGCGGGGCGGGGGAGTCAGTGGGGGGTTGTGGAGGGGGAGTCAGACTGACTCCCCTTCCGAAGGGGCGTCAGTGGCTGTGGAGGGGGGAGGGGGCAGTTAGGTGGGCTTTGGAGGGGGCAGTTAGGGGCTGAGACTGCAAAATAGACAAAAACAGCATACATTAAAATAACTTATAGCCGTACAATGTCATGTGCACCGACCGTGAATATTTTACCCTCAGTCGTATTGGTATAGTCTTCCTTGAAGGTATCGCTACTCGAAAGGTAGGTATCGGTAACTGTCCGTGGTTTGAGAGCTCCTGGCTTTTGAGGGTTGACCTCAATTAAAACCATGGCTTAATTTTCCAACCTGAGAGCTCCTGGCTTTTGAGGGTTGAACTCAATTAAGGCCAGGAAGTTTTCCAACCATCAAAAGCCAAAGGCTCTCAAACCAGGAAGCGATAGCGGTACCTCGAGTAGCGGCACTTTCAAGGAAGACTAGACTACACATATAATTCTGTGTACTACCTACCCCACATCTTCCGGTTCGTACTAGTCTGTGTGCATCCCATCAGCAGGTACTTTGGCCAGCACCCCATCAAATCCCTGCTTATTCACGTTCCGTGACCTCTCGTTGCCTCCAAGCAACCTTCCGTGATCTCTAAGTACCCTCCCGCGACCTCTAAGCAGCCTTCCGTGCCCTTTCATGACCACTCGCGACCTCTTGTGAGCTTCTGTGACCTCCCATGACCTTCTGTGATCTTTCGTGACCTTTTGTGATCTTTTGTGACCTCTATATGACCACTAGCGACATTTTGTGAGCTTCTGTGACCTCCCATGACCTTCTGTGACCTCTTAATAACCTCCTGTGACCTCTATATGACCTCCTGTGACCAGGGCTGCGGAGTCGATGGATTTACGGCGACTCCGACTCCGACTCCGGCTTTCAAAAACCAACTCCGACTCCGACTCCGACTCCGGGCAGAAATGTCGACTCCGATCGACTCCAGCTCCCGACTCCGACTCCGCACACATGGCAGGGCTGCGGAGTCGACAGACTTTCGGTGACTCCGAATCCGACTCCGGCTGGGGTTTCCAATATCGACTCCGACTCCGACTCCGACTCCGGTCACAACTGTCGACTCCGACCGACTCCGACTCCGACTCCGACTCCGCAGCCCTGCCTGTGACCTCTATATGACCTCCTGTGACCTCTATAGGACCTCCTGTGACCTCTATATGACCTCCTGTGACCTCTATATGACCTCCTGTGACCTCTATATGACCTCCTGTGACCTCTATATGACCTCCTGTGACCTCTATCTGACCCCCTGTGACCTCTATACGACCTCCTGTGACCTCTATATGACCCCCTGTGACCTCTATACGACCTCCTGTGACCTCTCGTGACCTCTACTCACGGCGAGATGTGGTTACAGACGGATATCTCCGAGCGGAACTGGATAAAGCCGTCCTCCATCCGCTCGGCAGCTATATGAGACGGGTCCTTCCGAGACACGTGCTGCATCCTGGCGGCAGAGAATGGAAACACAGACAGTTACTGGGTCCTCCCGGGACACGTGCTGCATCCTGGCGGCGGAGAATGGAAACACTGTCACTAGGGGTCCTTCCGAGACACGTGCTGCATCCTGGCGGCGGAGAATGGAAACACTGTCACTAGGTCCTTCCGAGACACGTGCTGCTCAGCCTGGCGCGGAGAAAGGAAACACTGTCACTAGGTCCGCATCCTGGCGGCGGAGAATGGAAACACTGTCACTAGGTCCTTCCGAGACGCGTGCTGCATCCTGTCGGTCAAAAATAGAAACACTGAAAACACAAGCACAACTTATGCCATATGACGCGAACAACTGCCACTGCAGTGCTGCAGTGCATTATGAAGTGATGCATGCATATTACCCTATCGTGCAGGCATAGTGCAGCTTAGTTGAATTCAGGGCAAAAGGCCGCGCAAACTCGGCAAGCTCGTAGGCGCCTACAGACTTTGGCAGTGAAAACCTACAATGACAACGGAAAATGAATTACACCATGGCTAATATGCACTAACAACAATTACCTACGTTCTAACTGACCATACAATTAACCTTATGTTCTAATCCTCAACACGGGCCAATTGATGTTCCAACGCCCCACGGTGCTAGAGTTTCTCTGTAACTCACCACATGGCTGGAGGCATGTTAGGCAGGAAGGGCCGCACTCCAGTGACCACCTCGTAAGCCACCAGGCCCAGGCTCCAATAGTCAGCGGTGCAGGTGTACCTGAGATAGAGGGACACAGGGTGATAGAGGTCACATTCAGACCACTCGGCCGTACAGGTGTACCTGATATAGAGGGAGACAGGGTGATAGAGGTCACATTCAGACCACTCGGCCGTACAGGTGTACCTGATATAGAGGGAGACAGGGTGATAGAGGTCACATTCAGACCACTCGGCCGTACAGGTGTACCTGATATAGAGGGAGACAGGGTGATAGAGGTCACATTCAGACCACTCGGCCGTACAGGTGTACCTGATATAGGCCGGGAGGGTGACAGGGGTCACATTCAGACCACTCGGCCGTACAGGTGTACCTGATATACAGGGTGTCCCATAAGTTCGTTCTCACCTTATATTTGCATGTAAAACAGAGTGCATTGCGTTTTGATATGTTTATAACCCCTCAATGTGCTCCCCATTTCATAGGCAAACACATGGATACATGCTGCGACATGCCAACCGGCATGCTTGGCAGCATAGCAGGCTTGAAGTTAGCCCAGACTGACTTGGCATGCGCCGTGAGCTCCTCAATGCTGGAACACCGCTTCGCTTCGACGAGCCTCGATTTCAATATTCCCAACACATTTTTATGAAATTTGGATCCGATGAGTTGGCTGGGATGTGATCTTACCACACACGCCTATCACAGTCTCCTGGCACTGCTTCTAAGCTTTGCTTGACCTGTGCACTGATGCACTGTCTTGCTTGAAGATGGGCCTACGACCTCCCGGATGCCATTTTCTCCTAAAAAATGTGGTCATACTTGCGGTTCGAGTTATGCTAGAAAGCTGAAACTCCTACTAGATCTTCTTGGAGAAGCATTCTGCGTCCCAAGACTGTTTCTGGAGTATCAATCGCAACGTGATCAGTGTCTGGACGCATATTACCCCACATTACCGTGACCCTGGCCTTTCGCATCGGAATAAAGCGGGATGACATAAAAGCCTTTTCCGTCGCCCATATGGGACCGTTTTGGGGTTTGGACCGGTGTTTTATCTCGAGCACGGACTAGGTAGTCCAGATGACCACATTGATGTCATCGGCCCTCCAGTTTTTTTAGCCTCAGGCATAACGAAACACATGTTTGGCCATTTTAAGACGTTTTTGACTGTTTTGAGCCCTCCGGTAAGTAGAGCTTAAGTCACCTTGAGTTAGGTACCCCGAAATGATACTCTTAGACAGCTGGTAATGCATCCTGAAAAGCCTGTTTACCAACTTTCTAACGCTAAGACCTTTTTGACGGCCATTTTGGCGCCACACAGTTTTGGCCACATGGCTCACTCGTGAAAGCTGACAAAAAAGAGCATAAACTTGCAGCGATTGACTCCCGACAAATCATCGGCGTCACTTGTTGACTGTGCCTCCAGTTAGCGACAGACATTGACTACATACTGGATGGCCTCAATCACCCTCAACCGTCGTGAATGGCCCAGTGCGGACTAAATACCGAGACGTTCCCGTATCGGAGACCTCTATGTTGCGGCGTAAGCCGTCTCCACAGGAAGTGAACTCTCTGGCAAAAAATATTTTGTCTAGACGAATTAGTTACCGTGGAGCACATTCACAGTTGCCATGGCAACCCCAAAAGCTCAGTTACAAAATAAATTAAGCGTGGCTTTAAATAAGAGAGCCTCTAAAAGAAAAATTTAGGTGAGAAGGAACTTATGGGACACCCTGTAGAGGGAGACAGGGTGATAGAGGTCACATTCAGACCACTCGGCCGTACAGGTGTACCTGATATAGAGGGACACAGGGTGATAGAGGTCACATTCAGACCACTCGGCCGTACAGGTGTACCTGATATAGAGGGACACAGGGTGATAGAGGTCACATTCAGACCACTCGGCCGTACAGGTGTACCTGATATAGAGGGAGACAGGGTGATAGAGGTCACATTCAGACCACTCGGCCGTACAGGTGTACCTGATATAGAGGGAGACAGGGTGATAGAGGTCACATTCAGACCACTCGGCCGTACAGGTGTACCTGATATAGAGGGAGACAGGGTGATAGAGGTCACATTCAGACCACTCGGCCGTACAGGTGTACCTGATATAGAGGGAGACAGGGTGATAGAGGTCACATTCAGACCACTCGGCCGTACAGGTGTACCTGATATAGAGGGACACAGGGTGATAGAGGTCACATTCAGACCACTCGGCCGTACAGGTGTACCTGATATAGAGGGACACAGGGTGATAGAGGTCACATTCAGACCACTCGGCCGTACAGGTGTACCTGATATAGAGGGAGACAGGGTGATAGAGGTCACATTCAGACCACTCGGCCGTGCAGGTGTACCTGAGATGGGGCAGGGCGGTGGTTAGACACATACTCTAGTAGTCGGCCCGGTACGGGTGTACCTGAGATGGAGCGGGACGGGGGGTTAGGATTAGACCGAGATTAGACTCAGACTCCGTCGGCAGTACAGGTGTACCTGATATGGGGCGGGACGGTGGTTAGACACATACCTACTCCAATAGTCGGCCCGGTACGGGTGTACCTGAGATGGAGCAGGGCGGTGGTTAGACACATACTCTAGTAGTCGGCCCGGTACGGGTGTACCTGAGATAGGCCGGGGAGGGAGGATAGAGTCAGACCGAGATTAGACTCACACTCCATTTAGTCGGCAGTGCAGGTGTACCTGAGGCGGAGCAGGACGGTGGTTAGACACATACTCTAGTAGTCGGCCCGGTACGGGTGTACCTGAGATAGGCCGGGGTGGAGGGTTAGGATTAGACCGAGATTAGACTCATAGTCCATTTAGTTGGCCGTGCAGATGTACCTGAGATAGGCCGGGAGGGTGAAAGGGGTCACATTCAGACCACACTGAGTGTACTGAGTACAGGGCACAGGGTGTACCTGGGATAGAGTGGGACGGATGTTAGAATCAGACCGAGATTAGACTCACAAGTCACACTCCATTTAGTTGGCAGTGCAGGTGTACCTACGGGTAGGGAAGAGATCACCATGGCATACTGAATGGATTATTAGAGTGGCCTGAAGAAATATTTCGTTAAAACATCACAGCTGCTTTATAACAATCACGTTGTATGAATTCGCAATTAACGTTTTAATTATCGTACTAGACTCGGCTAGAACGAGACTCTCTCCATCTAAGTATACCCATCTATGATCCCAGGTCTCGGGTTCTTCCAACAGGGAGTACTCAGCTCCCTGCCCAACTCGCTATCGCTGCTGCTGATGAATCCCACCCACAAGTCTACGATAAAAAGATCCACTCCAATTTACTCCCGTACTTGTCGGGAAAAAGGGTTCAAGCGTCAGATACTGTCAGTGTCCCTGCCACATTCTATCTTTCCTTGCCCTAATCTAACGAGCCCCTACCTTTTCCTGCCCTCTTGCTACTACAGTATAAAATTGCCCAATCCCAAATGATCCCTCCCGTGACTCCCGAGCGTGTCGGCGAGGAAGAGTTCCGGCACCGGTACTGTAACGGTACTGTAACGTAACCCTATCCTCTCCTCCCCCTCCCATCCATTTTTATCACCTCCCTTCCCTTACTTGTTGGTGAGGAACAGCTCCGGTGCCAGGTACTGCAGTGTTCCCCCTATCTTCCCTTTCATTTCCTTACTTGTTAGTCAGGAACAGCTCCGGCGCCAGGTACTGCAGCGTCCCCACGAACGACGTACAGACGCTCGACTGGTCCAGCTCCTTCGCGTACCCCAGGTCGATCAGCTTGTACAGCGGCTGCGGCATCGTGGGAGCCATGTTCAGACACTGGTTAGTCACCTTGTACAGGGGCTGCGACAACGGGGGGGGGGGGGGCGTGTTCAGACATTGGTCAATGGGTGGCCCGACAGAAGAATATATGGAGACATAACAGATACATCAAATATATATCAAACGACGGTTTAGACAAAATAATCGTTGAAAGTTTAGATATTTAGTATCGATAAAATTCCAGCAAAACCACCACCAATTCGCAAATAGCATTGTTTAATTGACGACATGTCCCACCATGCTAACGGACAACTGGATCCTTATGAACGTATAACGTTCGATACACGTTAACACATCAGCTGCGGCATAATTAACAACATAATTAGTTCTGCAGTCTAGCGTCATTTGGCGCAGCATCACCCTTCCATTGAAGATCTGAAGTTCGAAGTTGGTCCACTGACGTCATATGACGCGCCTCACCTTGTCATGCACTGTCTGCAATACGACGTCCTTGGATCTACTGACGTCATATGACGCGCCTCACCTTTCCATGCACAGTCTGTAATACGACGTCCTTGGATCCACTGACGTCATATGACGCGCCTCACCTTGCCGCGCACCGTATGCAGTACGACGTTCTTGGATCCACTGACGTCAAATGACGCGCCTCACCTTGCCGTGCACCGTCTGCAGGGCGACGTCCTCCGGTCCACTGACGTCATATGACGCGCCTCACCTTGCCGTGCACAGTCTGCAGTTCGACGTTCTCCGGTCCACTGACGTCATATGACGCGCCTCACCTTGCCATGCACAGTCTGCAATACAACGTCCTCCGGTCCACTGACGTCATATGACGCACCTCACCTTGCCATGCACAGTCTGCAATACAACGTCCACCGGTCCACTGACGTCATATGACGCGCCTCACCTTGCCGTGCACTGTCTGCAGTGCGACGTCCTCCGTTCCACTGACGTCATATGACGCACCTCACCTTGCCATGCACAGTCTGCAATACAACGTCCTCCGGTCCACTGACGTCATATGACGCGCCTCACCTTGCCGTGCACTGTCTGCAGTGCGACGTCCTCCGTTCCACTGACGTCATATGACGCGCCTCACCTTGCCGTGCACAATTTGCAGTTCGACGTCCTCCGGTCCACTGACGTCATATGACGCGCCTCACCTTGCCGTACACCGTCTGCAGGACGACGTTCTTGGATCCACTGACGTCATATGACGCGCCTCACCTTGCCGTGCACTGTCTGCAGGACGACGTTCTCGGGTTTCAGATCCCGGTGGATGATCCGCAGACCGTGGAGGTAGCACAGTGCGTCCGTGATATCACTGAGAAACTGGCGGACCTCCAGCTCCGGCAGGCCGCAGCAGTTCTCCGGACGCAGCAGCACCTGGAGCGTGTCAAATGACGTCAGTGGGGGGTCAGGCCACAGCAGCACCTAGAGTGTGTCAAATTACGTCATTGGGGGAGTCTGGCCACAGCTGCCAGTACCTACACACGCGTCAAATGACGTCAGTGGGGGGTCAGGCCGCAGCAGTTCTCCGGCCGCAGCAGCACCTGAACAGGCGTCAAATTACGTCACTGGGGGAGTCTGGCCGCAGCTGCAGTACCTACACACGCGCCAAATGACGTCAGTGGGGGAGCCTGGCCGCAGCTGCAGTACCTACACACGCGCCAAATGACGTCAGTGGGGGAGCCTGGCCGCAGCTGCAGTACCTACAAACGCGTCACATGGTGGGGGAGTCTGGCCGCAGCTGCAGTACCTACAAACGCGTCAAATGACGTCAGTGGGAGCATTGGTTAAAAAGGCGCAGCAGCAATTAATTCAACTTGGGAAGCAAGTTGTTATCGATGTAGATATCTGGTTAAATGTAACAGCAGCCCTTATCATGATTATGCTGCTGTTATCCTAAAATGATGCTGTCATATTTAGCCCTAGAACGCCTAGGGGGGGGGGTTGTATCAACCCCCCCCCCCCTGAGGTTTTTTCGAAGTGCACGCTAAACGGCTTGTCGTAGCGGGCTGAAATTTTCAATACCCTCTGGGGCAACCTTTGCGCATCTTTTGCCGAAAAAAAATTGATCGGGTCATGTCAGGTCACGGAGTTATGACGTCATAAGAGGTACAGCCTCCGGCCGGATTTTCACAAACTGAGTGCCAACGCCCGAGGTTTCCTGCCGGTGGTACGGACATCGGTTGATGGATCGTGATGAAACTTCCCATGCATGTTGGGGCAAGTATTGGCTATCATATGGTATAAGAAATTTGACCGGGTCAGGTCAGGTCACGGAGCTATGACGTCACAAGAGGAACAGCGTCCGGTACTATTTTTGAAAAGCGCCCGAACCACTATTTTGCTAATTCTTGTCACCTCAATGGGAATATGCAGCAATATTAGCTTCTATAGGGAGCAAATGGACCTCCCAAATCCAAAAATACAATCAGATTTCAAAAATTTAAATTTTGATTTTTCGAATTTCTGCCGCCGACTGTGACCTTGCCGACTTCCGGCGCTCCCAACGCGCCATTTTTAGAGCTAGGGAAACGAAATACATACCAAACGATAGAGAATTGATCAAGGAACACGATAGTGAAGGTTTCAAGTCGATATCTCCCACCGTTTTGCCGCAATCGCCGCCGAAATTTGAAAAAGTCTATTTTTCCGAAAATTTGACCTTTGACCGGTCAAAAGTAGGTCAAATGTTGACCTAAGACCAAAAAATATACCACCAATCGCGAGATCTCGTTGAGAGCAATCCGTTGGTTTTTTCCGCTAAGCTCTACGACCTTCCGTTTCGAAACGCCAGGGGGGGGTCGTAACAACCCCCCCCCCCCCTGGTCGTTCGTGTTATGAGAAATGGCCTGGTCGTGCGAGGGTTAAGAAAAAATATGCATCAAGTACCTACCCTAGTAAAATTATATCAAACAAGAACGAGGGCACATGCTGAAGTCAAATGACCCATTGTGGTAGCCAAAAAGCGACGACAGGTATACGGTTGTAGTAGCAGCTGCTGCTCCAATAACGTCACTGGTCAAACATTAGAGTGAAGACGGCCGGGTAAGCAGCTCATAAATGAGCAGCGCCTTAATAAATTCCGTCGAAACGGGACTACTGCCGGTCAGCTATGCAGTGGCACGAAAACCGGCAACAATAATGTGAAGTGCGTTTGATTTACAGCTGCGCTACCACGTAAGTCTTCGTGAGTCATAGGACATTGCGGGTCATCAAAACATAACGTTCGTTTGTTAGACGATAAATATGTAACGACGAATTAATTCCCGCACAGGTTCCCAACATAGGACATATATTAGCAGAAGTGCTACTATGCATCCACGTTATAGTGGTAAGTTTTTATCACGCAGGCATCGGGAAATCGCAAAGTCACTGGGTTGAAAGTTTGAAACCATCCCATTCACACAGGGCACTTGGTAGCACTCATGTCTTCACTCCCCCCCCCCCCATGTGAGTCACAGAGGGGTGTCAGACGGGGGGAGGGGGACCCGGGTGAATCACGACCCCGGTTCATTGTCTTCGGGGGTAGCAAAGAGCACTCCCCTTCAGCTCCGTTACGGCACACGTGCAGCCAGTACCTACGGCTAGCCCTCACACAGTGCGTTGGCCTGACCGTCTCGCTGAACATTTCATACACCTAAAGATACCAGCAAGGGATGACGTCAAACAGCCTCAGCCCCACTCCAGTCCCCACGCTCGTCTCTGAATGCTGAGTGGCTACTCCGCTCCTCACACAGTGCTGTGCTGACACACAGAGGCAAATAAAACATCACACAACCTCCACCCCCCCCCCCCCCCCCCAGTCCACCCGGGCGCGTCTCTGAGTCTGGCACTAGCTCTCTAGTAAAACCACAATTCAGGGCAGGTGATAAGGACCTCTCTGCTACCAAATATGGAGAATGGAGCTATCCAAAACGACTGTCTAGTTCTGTGCACACATAACTTCGCTTTGCTGATGATATTCTAATTTTCAAATATCAATTAGGTATCTCACTTTAAAAACATACCATTGACAACTCCAAGCTGAATAACTATGCTGACCTAACTCTTTGGCTACGTCAGCTCCGCTGGAGCCCGTCCCCGAAAGATTCACGGCTGTCATTCATTCTATCCCTGACGTACCCGTCTGAGGTCTCCTCCCTCGCAGTACTCTATACAGAGCCGTACATACAGAGACTATCCCTGACGTACCCGTCTGAGGTCTCCTCCCTCGCAGTACTCCATACAGAGCCGCGGCAGCGCGGCCGGGTCCAGCTGAAAGTCGCCAGGTAGTGGCATGCAGCTGACGATGCCTCTGAAACACAGCCGGCAGTGTTATAGAACAGCATTCTGGGGCAACATACAACCGGAATTATCTCTAAAATACTTCTCCAAGGGACGGTGTTAGTCACACAGCTCATAGCACCAGTAAAACACAGAATACAAGAATCTGCCAAAGACAAGCCCTCCCGAGACATGCAGACTATCGTGCTCTGGGAAAACGGTGGGTGCCCCTGCATACCCTCGCTTAACGTGCAATGAATAATAGATCATGGCATGGACAGCATTCGCCCATAGTGCACGTAGCGGCACCTGATCGCAAAGTTCAAACAGAATATCGCCGCGTAACTCAAACTAATCCGAATTCGCATTTCAATATATTTCAGGGTAGCTGTTAACTATTTCGAGGCTTTTCTATTCAAGTTCCATACTATTAATTAATGTATAATTGAAGGAAATGAAATCATCTGACATAAAATATGATCGTATGACCTTCTATTGTGTCCCTCCACCACCATTACCTTTCCCTTTTCATCCCTTCCTCCCGCTCACAGACAGACAGTCAGGGAGCTTTAGAGGCCCCTGCATAGCCCTGATTACCTACCTGTGGTTCACAGGTCCTGCAGAGAGCCCGAATAGCCCCCCCCCCCCCACACACACACATACACACCTGTGGTTCTCACAGAGCCCCGAGTACCCACCTGTGGTTCTCACAGAGCCCCGAGTACCCACCTGAGGCTCACACGGAGCCCCGAGTACCCACCTGTGGTTCTCACAGAGCCCCGAGTACCCACCTGTGGTTCACACAGAGCCCCGATTGCCTACCTGTGGTTCAGTTTGAGCATGATCTCCACCTCCTTTTTCCATCTGTCGCGGACTTTGGGCTGAATCAGGGCCTCCGTGCCGGAGCCAGGCTCCCCCCATCTGCACTGCTTGATGGCTGGATAGAGGGGGTGGGAGGGTCAGGGGGAGAGAGAGAGAGAGAGAGAGAGAGAGAGAGAGAGAGAGAGAGAGAGAGAGAGAGAGAGAGAGAGAGAGAGAGAGAGAGAGAGAGAGAGAGAGAGAGAGAGAGAGAGAGGAGCGTGCACTCGGGAGTCCTGGACGGAGGGGAGAAGGAGGAGCACACACTCAAGGCTGGACAGAGAATGAGAGTAGACAGACTTAAAATACCGTGGTCATTGTTCACAAGTATGACTTGTGTGTCATCCTGTCACTATTATTTTCTTCTTCTTTAACTAGAAGCAGGCTCACGATACTTACATGAACGAAGTTCACAATGATTGGTATTTATGGACACTCCAGATCCAGATGTATCTTGCCTACCTATCTACAAGTGTACATTAAGGAGTGAGCCGCACGGACTCCAAATTGTGAGCCGTACGGACTCCAAATTGTGAGCCGTACGGACTCCAAATTGCGAGCCGTATAAACTGACCGATTTTCTGGTCGGTTGTGACGTTCCTCCAGAGTACCACCATGCCGAAGCCGCCGGAGCCAATGTCCTTGACGCGCTCCCACAGTCCCACCATCTCCGGCATCCTGCCGGCTGGGTCAGGTCAGGTCAGGTCAGGTCACAGGGATCAGGTCAGGTCACAGAGGTCAGCTCAGGTCAGTAGGTACTCCCACAGTCCCACCATCTCCGGCATCCTGCCGGCTGGGCCCCAGAGGCCAGGTCAGGTCATGTCAGGTCAGTAGGTACTCCCATAGTCCCACCATCTCCGGCATCCTGCCGGCTGGGCCACAGAGCTCAGGTCAGGCCGGGTCACAGAGGTCAGGTCAGGTCACAGAGCTCAGGTCAGTAGGTACTCCCATAGACCCGTTCAGGGCTGCGGAGTCGGAGTCGGTCGGAGACTCGGAGTTCTGACCGGAGTCGGAGTCAGAGTCGATTTTGGTCGCCGGAGCCGGGGTGGGAGGCACCATGGCATATACTGAGTTAAAGTTTTTTGAAGTTTGACCCTCATTGTAAACATCCTTTGAACACAGCACGATTATTGCTTGCTGAATTAGGTACCTGTCACTACCTTCTGATAAAACTGGTTGGCGCACATTGTATTACATATATGATTCATATTTTCAAAACAAGTTTTAAACACCGATGATGTACCGTTATATAAAACGCCGTTCGATGCATTAATTAGTTCAGTTATAATTCCTGGCAAGTTGTGTATACCCGTGAAGTTGTAAACATTGGCAAATACGAGCTGAGAGTCTGGGGGATGGGAGCCAGGTAGTAATAATTTTGATAAAAGTTGATCGTCTGTCAAATCAATGTGCGCCAACCAGTTGTCTCAGTGCTTTAGGTAGCGATTCTCGCGCTGTGGTCAAAGAGACGTTTACAATGAGTGTCAAATTAAAAAAAAAACGAACTAAGTACACTACATACACGGCAGCAGTATGAGACGTTTTGGCACCCACCAAGCGCGACAGCCTTGACTGGGCGCTTCGCGGCTTCATGTCACGCACCCCAGGTGACACCGCACTGGTGCGCACGCTGGGGCTATCCCGATTTCTCGGGCCCGGCAGGTCAGAGGGCTGCTCCGGGACATGAGGCGAGGCCGTGCCCTCGGGACATGTCACCGGACCGAAGAATCTGTTTAAAGGCGGATCAGGCCTGGGTGGTGTTTCACGGGACGCTGCTACCACGCTGCTATCAAATTGCGCGAGCTGACGTCACACTTGTGGTAGTGTTGGAGCAATGGGCCTGTTGATGTTTCCATGGAAACCCAATTTGACACGTGTAAAAGCAGCGTGCTGCTATCACCAGTGAAACAGGGCCCTGTATACCCACGACCTGGGACGCTGGCTGGCACAGCGTTAACCAGCCCACGCACTACTGGGGGAGGGGGGATGTTGAGCCCGTGATTTTCGCGAATGTTTCAAAACTTGGCGCCGCCGCTTTGAGCACACCTTATCATACATCTGTTCAGCATACATGTTAACATTTCAGACCAAGGTCAATGAAGGTCAGGTCAATGGACGTCAAGTGACCTCACCTCATAACAACACATTCCAGAGCGAGCCAAGAAAGACGCCTTCATCTTTGGTACGTCAGACGAGCGCCTGAGACAAGAAGCTCTGGCCAGGCCAGAGACCCCGACTTGCAGACGCTCATCAAGTCGGCCTTGGGATATGACCAGGCTAGGAAATCCAGCGGCGCAATTCAGTCAGAAGTGGGAGTCTGTGGCATGGGTAGCAACCAGAGGGCGCTACAGCATCAACCAGCCAACGACGACACCAGTGGTCAGGGAGGCTGAGGTGCTGGCCCACGTGTCAGGTGTAAGAACTGCCCGCCGCACTACGGACCGCACCCGCTGGGCCGCTGTCCGGCTAGGGGTAAGACGTGCACTCTCTGTGGTGCGAAGAATCACTTTGTAGGAGCTGCAGCGCAGCCATTAAGTGATGTGGAGCTTGAGGTTCAACACTACAGGCGTGGATAGTGGACAATTTTTTTGCAGTCACGTGAATAAATATGCCTTTTGCTGCCGTGTTTTCAGATTCCACGGGATGTATTGTGTCACTATAAATGGATTTTAGGAAAGTTTCACAGCTCACCTCAACCTGCAGTCTGCACTTTCACAATCTGTAAAATCAAATATCACAGCTCAATGTTGACAGTGTAGGTAGCAGCAGACACAGACGCAGACCATTACGTGTGGACTGAATTCCCAGTAAACTATAGGCTCATTCAAATTCAGAAGTTCTTGAACTAATTTACAAACATTGAATGCACACAATTGCAAGTGCAATGAAACGCTGATGCAAAAGTACACGGAACAAAATTGTTATCGAATTCATGTTCAGTTTAAATGTGGTCAGATAAGTTCTACGAAATTACTTTATTTTTGATTCGCGAACAGCTGCGCTTTCAGTTTGGATTCGCTATTTTTCTAAATAAAATGCATTCGATAGTACAAATGAATAGGGTTGCACAAAAGAGACATAAACGGCGCATTAGTTTCAAAGTATTTCACTGGTGCGGCCACTAAATTATGTAAGAATGGAAACAATAAGTGTTATTACGGTTTTTACTAATGATCAATGAGCCGATTGCTGATTTATGTCAGAAGGCCATGTAACTTGTATTGAGCTCAATTTCCCCAACTGAGTTGATATAGAGTTAAATTTGTGAGAGTCAAAGACTTGTTGAGTGAGAGTGTGAGGCTAGTTGGCGAGGTATGCATGGAATTAGGTATAGGTATAGGTATAGGTATAGGTTTAGTGGACTAGGATTAGACAATGGTCTATTTGGTGTCCACATCGGTCATAGGTCATTGGCCGTGATTTAAAGACAAATTACTCAGGAATGGTTGCGGCCCAGTGTCGGTCTAGCCTGTTCTTGAAGCTGTCAACAGTTTCGGCTTCGATCACACCTTGCGGCAGAGAGTTCCAGTGCTGCACACTGCGTCTTGAGAAGGCCATTGCTCTCGGTTTGTGTCTGGCTCTCTGTACTTTCAGTTTCTTGTTATGTCCTCTTGTTCTTTCCTCTGTGTTCTCTTCAAAGAACTTGTCGAACTCTAGTCCAGTCATCCCTCTCATGATTTTGAACACCAGTATCAGATCGCCTCTTTGCAGCCTCCTTTTCATGTCATAAATCTTCAGCCGCTTAAGTCGCTCCTCGTAGGGTACATTCTTCAGCCCTCGTACCAGTTTGGTTGCTCTGCGCTGGATCTTGTCGAGTTCCTTGAAGTCTTGGGCCATGTAGGGACCAACTGCTTGCATGCAATATTCTAGGTGAGGCCGCACATACGTTGTGTATAACATCTTGAAGCTGCTACTGTCAAAGTTGACAAAAGCTTTTTTTATCCTTCTAAGTGCCGCTGCTGCTTTGTTGGCCGCCTGATGACAATGCAATGTAGGTTTCAAGTTGCTCTCCACTAACACTCCCAAGTCCTTCTCCTGCTCTGTTTTCTTCAATTGGTGTACAATTCCATCCTGAGTTAAGGTGTAGTTTGCCCTCTGGTTCTTTCTACCACAATGCATCACTTTGCATTTGTCTACATTGAACTGGAGCAACCACTCCTCGGACCATTTGGACAGTACTTCTAGGTCTTCCTGTAATGCCTTTGTGTCCTGATCTCCATTGATGGTCCGATAGACCTTTGTATCGTCAGCAAAGAGTTTGATACCACTCTTTACTAGTTCCGGCAGCTCGTTCACATATAGTAGGAATAGCGTTGGTCCTATCACAGAACCTTGAGGCACCCCACTCTTGACTTGACCCCACTCGGATAGCCCTTCACCAACACATACCTGTTGTCTGCGGTCTCGTAGGAAATCTCCTATCCAGTCAGAGATCTTGCCAGCTATACCATAGCTCTTGAGCTTCTTGATTAGTCTTTCATGGGGGACCGTGTCAAACGCCTTTTTGAAGTCGAGGAATATTATATCCAGATCCAAGTCATTGTCCAGTGCCTCTGTCCATTCCTCAAGGGTCTCCAGCAAGTTTGACTGGCATGATTTCCGGGTGGTGAAGCCATGTTGATGTTCGCTGAGCAAGTTGTTGATTTCCATATGATGCATCAGTTGTGCTCGAATGATCCTCTCAAGTAGCTTACAAACTTGGCTGGTCAGACTTACTGGTCGGTAATTACACGCCTTGCTTCTGGATCCCTTCTTGAAAATTGGAGTGATTTTGGCAGTTTTCCATTCTTCCGGCAGCCTACCCTCGTCTAGGGTTTTCCTGAAGAGAGCACATAATGGCGATGCCAGTGATCCTGCACAGTTTTTTAGTACAATTGGTTTTATGTCATCAGGTCCAGCAGCCTTCTGGGGGTTAAGGTCACTCAGTTCCTTGTAGACCAAGTCTGGAGTGATTGTCACATCGTTCATAAAGTTCCTCTCATCCTCCACCCTTGGTGTTGGGTCCGGGATTATCGTCTTGTCTTCATCTACAAAGACACTTTGAAAAAAATCTTGGAGAATTTGAGCCATTTCATTATCATTTTGTGCCAGAGACCCATCATGCTTTTCAAGAGGACCCACTGTGACCTTCGCTTTGTGCTGAGCTCGAATGTATCTGTGGAGGTTCTTGGGTTCCTGTTTTGATTTTGCAATGATGCTTTTTTCATAGTCTCTCCTGACTTTCCTCAGCATCTTTGAGGTGCGGTTTCTTTGAGTCTTGTACTCTTCCAAAGCCTCCGCAGTTTTCACCTCGGTGTAGTGCTTCCAGCATGCATGCTTCCTCTTAACCTCCTTCTTTAACTTTGGTGACCACCAAGGTGCTTTTTCTAGTTTCGTGCTTCTTTTGCCTCTTAATGGGACATGCTTGGCAACTTCTGTTTGAATCTGAGTTTTGAACAGCCTCCAAGCTTCTTCAACCCCTAGGGTCTCAATCTCAGCCCAGTTCACATTGTTTAGATCATGATTCATTTGCTGGTAGTTTCCTTTACTGAAGTTCCTCTGGATGCCCAGCGTTGACTTTTTCCTGTGAGTACCATTTGCTGTGTCTGTGTAGAAATACTTCCATGTTAAAACCACATGGTCACTTTTCCCCAGTGGACTCTCACTGACTAGCTCGTCTACTGCCATATCATTGTCACTGAAGACGAGGTCAAGCTGTGATGGTACACAGCCTTCCCGAAATCTTGTGGGAAAGTCTACATGCTGGTGTAAAAATATGTCTTGTGTGACATCAAAGAACCTGGTTGCGTGGCCGTCCAATGGCCCTCGGGAGGTCCCGCCTTTCCAATTTATATGGCCATAGTTAAAGTCTCCCATGATAAGCACACAATTTGCATTCATTTGATCAATTTTCTTGAAGAGTTCCAATAACAAGTCATTGTTCTCGGGTGAACTTGAAGGGCTCCTGTAGCATATCCCTATAAGTATTTTGTCTGATAGGCTTGGTCTTACCATACCCCAAACTGATTCACCGAACATGGAACCATTTAGTTCAAAACATTCTGTCAGCCTTAGGTTGTCTCGAACGAAAAGCATGACCCCTCCACCTTCCTGACCCTCAGCTCTGTCCTTCCTTAATGCAGGGTGATAACCTTGCAACATGAAGTCATCTTTGGTCCATGTCTCAGTTATGCCTATAACATCTGGCGTACTGATTTGAATTCTACTGAGTAATTCTTCACGTTTGTTACTCAAACTGTTTGCGTTGGTGTACATACAACTTAAATGACTTTTTCCAATCACGTAGTCCCTTTTATGAGGCCCTGTGGTTGACTTGCCTGTTTTGTTGTTCTCCTGGAGAATCTCTCCCTTGTCTGGGGACCACCTTTCCCCGAAATATCATGTGGGTTTCCTTTCCCTTTTCAGCCAATTCCTGCCTGAGTTTCCTCCGAGCTTCTCGTTCTTCTGGTGGCAAATCTCTGGTAAGGTATATATTTGGAAAACCTCTGTCCTTGAGGCTCCATCTGTTCTTCATGAGCTGTTCAACATCTCTCTGGTCTCTGAGTTTGACCAACATCAGTCGAGGTTTTTGATCTGCCGTGGTTTTGTTGTCGTCTTCTTTCCTTCTTCCCAGTCTGATCACATTTTCCACCTCAATGATCATCCCCTCTCCTAGGAGTGCCGCAACTACATTATGGAAGCTGTCTTGGTCGTACTGCTTTCTCGACTCAGGATTGCTTGATTTGCTCTCAGGTATATTATGGAGTAGTATGTTTCTCTCTCTTACTGTTTTTTCGTCATGTGCCTTCATGTAGTTTCTCAGTTCCTGGGCACTGCTCTTAATTTCCTCCGTATACTTTGGCATCGCTTTGACAGAGTCTATCTGCCCTTTAAGCTCTCGAGATAAGTTTTCTAGTTCGACGTGATGAGTCTTCATTTGTTCTTTCATTTTTTGTTCTAAGAGATCTAGTCTTTGGTCTAACTTTGTTTCCGCTCCTATATCAACGTTCCTATCATTGATTGCCTGAAGGATGTTTTTCTCCATCTCCTCAATTTTGTTGCTGTTGATGGTTTCTGCCTTCCCCAAATCTTTGACCTTGGGGCGACATTTGCAGCACAAAAAGCAGAGGTCATACTCATCTAGTGCCCAAAAAGCGTCATCTGAGATATTTTGGCATTTTGGGTGAAACCACATTTCGCAGCCATCACACATGATAGAGTCATCTGAGTCATCTAGCGTTTTACCACATGGATTTCTTCCCCCATTGCAAGTGTATGTTTGTTTCGCCTCGATTTTTGGAGATCCTCTTTTCTTACCTTTCTTTGGTCCATCCGCCAATTCCCCACTCGCTGATCCAACACCGGATTTTACCTCTTTTTGCTTTTTATCACCGTTTCCACCATTTTCGTCTTTTTGAGACAAACTCGCCGCATCTTTTGAAGCGTCCTCGTTGCTCTTAGAGGTGACTCTTGTTCTTCCCATTTCGATTTTTGTCTGGCCTTTTGTGTTCAGTTTTCTTTCCAGCACCTTCTTTACATTGGCATTTTACCGTTCCACTTTTTTATGCGCGATAATTCGATCAAAGACACTATGAGGCCTTTCTCCGCACTATTTCTTCCAACTGTGACCTTGGCCTTGACCGCTAACACAATCTGGCGCGCAACCTGTAGGGTCGGATCCGGATTGAGGAGCGACTGAGAGGAGCGTCCGTCCAGGCCGAGGATCAGAGGGAAACTCAATTAATTAATCAACACATTAATCAATTAATCAACACAGCCCTTATCAATGTTTTCTACTGACTTCTGCTTCCTGTACTGTTGCCTCTGATTGCAGATTTTGGGAGTTAGGTATAAGATCCCAAGAGCGAAGAGTTACCTACACATCTAGCAGCTCCAAGGCAACAGCACATACTTCATATTATTCTGGAAATTCAGGAATTTTGCAGTTCAGAAGATCCTGCAGCTCAAGACACCATCCCAAACCTGTGTCTACATCGTCCAGGTGGTGACTGTTGTCTGTCTGTCCCCTGCTCATCCCAAGCACCCCAGCTATGCACCTTCTGGCCCTGCCTCAGGAGGACGTCCTCTTCCCCCATGTCCTCAGCTGTCTGTCCGTGCAGAGCCTGTTCCTGCTGCGGGGGACGTGCCGCGACCTCAGGGACGCCGTGGACCGCTACCTGGGCCGACTGAGGGTCCTGGACCTGGCCGGCAACAACTGCATCACCCGGGAGGCCATCCAGGTGGGAGCACATTGTGGAATTAGTTGGAGGACATTGTGGGACAGGTGGGAGGACATTGTGGGACAGGTGGGAACACATTTTGGGACAGGTAGGACATTGTGGGATGGGCAGGAGGACATTGTGGGACAGGCAGAAGGACATTTTGGGACAGGCGGGAGCACATTTTGGGACAGGTGGGAGGTGAGGGACGGTCAGGTGGTGGTTGATACATGCGGGTGTGATGTAAATTATCAATGGAATGCAAATGACAAACAGGAGAGCTGATGTGCCAGATGGGGAGGCTAGGGTGAAAGGTGGGTAAAGATGGGGACAACTGCAGGGAATCCTGGTAGGACAGGGAGTTGCATTGCATGGGAAGGACATCAGATGACAGGAAGGACACTAGGGACAGGGACATTTGGGACAGGAGAGACATTTGGGACTTTTGGGACAGGATGGAGACATTTGGGACATTTGGGACAGAAGGGACATTGGGCCTGGGGACAGAAGGAGACAGAGGGACAGTTGGGATAGGAGGACAGGATGAAATTGGAGACAGAGGGACACATGAAGGTCAGATGGAATGACAGGTGGAGTATGTGGGTTTCAGATGCGAAACATAGCATTGGTGTGGGACAGGTGGAATGGGTGAGGGGACATTTGGGATGGGAGTGGGTGGAACAGGCTGGGTGACAACAGGGACAGGTGGAATGGGTGAGGGGACAGTTGGGTTGGGAGTGGGACAGGCTGGGTGACAACAGGGTCAGGTGGAATGGGTGAGGGGACAGTTGGGTTGGGAGTGGGACAGGCTGGGCGACAACAGGGACAGGTGGAATGGGTGAGGGGACAGTTGGGTTGGGAGTGGGACAGGCTGGGCGACAACAGGGACAGGTGGAATGGGTGAGGGGACATTTGGGATGGGAGTGGGACAGGCTGGGCGACAACAGGGACAGGTGGAATGGGTGAGGGGACAGTTGGGTTGGGAGTGGGACAGGCTGTGTGACAACAGGGACAGGTGGAATGGGTGAGGGGACAGTTGGGTTGGGAGTGGGACAGGCTGGGTGACAACAGGGTCAGGTGGAATGGGTGAGGGGACAGTTGGGTTGGGAGTGGGACAGGCTGGGTGACAACAGGGTCAGGTGGAATGGGTGAGGGGACAGTTGGGTTGGGAGTGGGACAGGCTGTGTGACAACAGGGACAGGTGGAATGGGTGAGGGGACAGTTGGGTTGGGAGTGGGACAGGCTGGGTGACAACAGGGTCAGGTGGAATGGGTGAGGGGACAGTTGGGTTGGGAGTGGGACAGGCTGGGTGACAACAGGGACAGGTGGAATGGGTGAGGGGACATTTGGGATGGGAGTGGGACAGGCTGGGCGACAACAGGGACAGGTGGAATGGGTGAGGGGACAGTTGGGTTGGGAGTGGGACAGGCTGGGCGACAACAGGGTCAGGTGGAATGGGTGAGGGGACAGTTGGGTTGGGAGTGGGACAGGCTGGGCGACAACAGGGACAGGTGGAATGGGTGAGGGGACAGTTGGGTTGGGAGTGGGACAGGCTGTGTGACAACAGGGACAGGTGGAATGGGTGAGGGGACAGTTGGGTTGGGAGTGGGACAGGCTGGGTGACAACAGGGTCAGGTGGAATGGGTGAGGGGACAGTTGGGTTGGGAGTGGGACAGGCTGGGTGACAACAGGGACAGGTGGAATGGGTGAGGGGACATTTGGGATGGGAGTGGGACAGGCTGGGCGACAACAGGGACAGGTGGAATGGGTGAGGGGACAGTTGGGTTGGGAGTGGGACAGGCTGGGCGACAACAGGGACAGGTGGAATGGGTGAGGGGACAGTTGGGTTGGGAGTGGGACAGGCTGGGCGACAACAGGGACAGGTGGAATGGGTGAGGGGACAGTTGGGTTGGGAGTGGGACAGGCTGGGTGACAACAGGGACAGGTGGAATGGGTGAGGGGACATTTGGGATGGGAGTGGGACAGGCTGGGTGACAACAGGGACAGGTGGGAGGCACTTTGGATCGATGACTGTGATACATTTGTGGGTGCAGCTGGAATTATAGGTTGACGATCTGGAGACTGGAATAGCTGGAACAAGTAAATAGCGAACAAGTGAATAGCTGGAATAACTGGATAGCTGGAACAAGTGGGACAGCTTGAATGACAGGTGGAACAGACATGAGGTTATGGTAGATAGGCAGGACAGGTGGGATGAAAATGGGACAGCCTGGGACAGTCGGGGTGGGATAAGACAGCTGGGATAGTGGCACAGAGAGGGTGGCGGGAGGGGCGGCCGCGCCTGGGACAGTGGAGGTGACTGGAGCAGGCCAGAATGGGATGTGCAAGGTATCCTCTCTGGGTCTGGGTTCACAGTTCATATGTCACTTTATGGGACTAGACGCAAGGCCTGTGAATATCCTAGTGTAATACTGTTGTTATGCCTCTCACATTCCCTGAACCCTAATCGATCATTGCCGCATTGTTTGGTGTTTCAGCAGGGTTTATTGACTCCCTGTGGCGTTTGACAGGTGTTATCCCATCACGTTAGAGAACTCATCCCCCTGTTCCTCAGCCGTCAGTATCGATTCCCCGTGCTGTTTAGACAGGTTTTGTCCGCGACCCCGCCGCAGAACTCGGTTAGCCTATTCCCGCTGTTCCCCAGCTGTTAATATTGATTCCCTGTGCCATTCGACAGGCTCAGTAACTCAGTGGGCCAGTGTTGATTCCGCGGCAGAGCTCAGTGATCCAGTGTTGATTCCACGCGCCGTCGTTTGTACAGGTGCTGTCTGACCACGCCGGCGGCCTGGCGGAGCTGGACCTGTCCCAGTGTAAATGGACAGAAGATTCCACCGTCCGACCAGTCATCGCCGCCAGCCCGCGCATGCGCCGTGTGAGCCTGGCCGGCTGCCAGAGTCTGGGAAACCCCGTCATACAGACACTGGCAGTCACATGTAAGGTAAGCGACAGCACGAATTGTGGCTAAAATATTTAGATGTTGCAAAAGTACGTGTGACAAAAGTGCTACACAAATGGACGAAGGCACGTAAGCAATAAAACCGTATAGATAAATAATAGCTTGCCTTACAATTTGCTAATTTGTCCAATGCCCACCAAACCCAACCGAACCTAGCCTTATCTTCGTGCTTTTGACTACACGGACTTCAAAGTTGATAGGTGCCCTAAGGACGTTTGCGATGCGTACTTGATACCTTTGCCTTCGTGCATTCGCAGCAGTTATACCTCTGGCTTACGAACGTTTGCAATACGAACATTTCGTCCGTATCCCTACCTCTATTGTCCTGGCCGCCCTGGCTGTGATAACTGTCCTGTCCGCCCTGGCTGTGACCTCTACTGACCTGTCCGCCCTGGCTGTGACCTCTACTGTCCTGTCCGCCCTGGCTGTGACCTCTACTGTCCTGTCCGCCCTGACTGTGACCTCTACTGTCCTGTCCGCCCTGGCTGTGACCTACATATACTGTCCTGTCCGCCCTGGGTGTGACCTCTACTGTCCTGTCCGCCCTGGCTGTGACCTCTACTGTCCTGTCCGCCCTGGCTGTGACCTCTACTGTTCTGTCCGCCCTGGCTGTGACCTCTACTGTCCTGTCCGCCCTGGCTGTGACCTCTACTGTTCTGTCCGCCCTGGCTGTGACCTCTACTGTCCTGTCCGCCGTGGCTGTGACCTCTACTGTCCTATCCGCCTTGGCTGTGACCTCTACTGTCCTGTCCGCCCTGGCTGTGACCTCTACTGTCCTATCCGCCCTGGCTGTGACCTCTACTGTCCTGTCCGCCCTGGCTGTGACCTCTACTGTCCTATCCGCCCTGGCTGTGACCTCTACTGTCCTGTCCGCCCTGGCTGTGTCCTCTACTGTCCTGGCCGCCCTGGCTGTGGCTGCTGTCCGCCCTGGCTGTGACCTCTACTGTCCTGCCTGTGACGTCTACTGTCCTGTCCGCCCTGGCTGTGACCTCTACTGTCCTGTCCGCCCTGGCTGTGACCTCTACTGTCCTGTCCTCCCTGGCTGTGACCTCTACTGTCCTGTCCGCCCTGACTATGACCTCTACTGTCCTGTCCGCCCTGGCTGTGACCTCTACTGTCCTATCCGCCCTGGCTGTGACCTCTACTGTCCTGTCCGCCCTCGCTGTGACCTCTACTGTCCTGTCCGCCCTGACTATGACCTCTACTGTCCTGTCCGCCCTGGCTGTGACCTCTACTGTCCTATCCGCCCTGGCTGTGATCTCTACTGTCCTGTCCGCCCTGGCTGTGACCTCTACTGTCCTATCCGCCCTGGCTGTGACCTCTACTGTCCTGTCCGCCCTGGCTGTGTTCTCTACTGTCCTGGCCGCCCTGGCTGTGGCTGCTGTCCGCCCTGGCTGTGACCTCTACTGTCCTGTCTGTGACGTCTACTGTCCTGTCCGCCCTGGCTGTGACCTCTACTGTCCTGTCCGCCCTGGCTGTGACCTCTACTGTCCTGTCCGCCCTGGCTGTGACCTCTACTGTCCTGTCCTCCCTGGCTGTGACCTCTACTGTCCTGTCTGCCCTGGCTGTGACCTCTACTGTCCAGCCCGCCCTGGCTGTGACCTCTACTGTCCTGTCCGCCCTGGCTGTGACCTCTACTGTCCTGTCCGCCCTGACTGTGACCTCTACTGTCCTGTCCGCCCTGGCTGTGACCTATACTGTCCTATCCGCCTTGGGTGTGACCTCTACTGTCCTGTCCGCCCTGGCTGTGACCTCTACTGTCCTATCCGCCCTGGCTGTGACCTCTACTGTCCTGTCCGCCCTGGCTGTGACCTCTACTGTCCTGTCCGCCCTGGCTGTGTCCTCTACTGTCCTGGCCGCCCTGGCTGTGGCTGCTGTCCGCCCTGGCTGTGACCTCTACTGTCCTGTCTGTGACGTCTACTGTCCTGTCCGCCCTGGCTGTGACCTCTACTGTCGTGTCCGCCCTGGCTGTGACCTCTACTGTCCTGTCCGCCCTGGCTGTGACCTCTACTGTCCTGTCTGCCCTGACTGTGACCTCTACTGTTCTGTCTGCCCTGACTGTGACCTCTACTGTCCTGTCCGCCCTGGCTGTGACCTCTTCTGTCCTGTCCGCCCTGGCTGTGACCTTTTCTGTCCTGTCCGCCCTGGCTGTGGCTGCTGTCCGCCCTGTCTGTGGCTGCTACTGTCCTGGCCGCCGGCCGCTACCCTCTATTGCTATCGGCCGTAGCTGCTGCCAACCTCGCCAGCAAACGTCTGTCGGCCGTAGCTGTGGCCGCTGGTGCCCCTGTCTGCGCTGGTTGTTGCCATTGCTGCCCTCTGTCGGCCGTAGCCAAACTACCGTTGCCGCCGTGACGGCGTGTCTCGCTGACCGGTTGATGACGCCATTTTCTGTCTGTCTGGTGTGGCCGCCCCGCCGCCGGTGGACACGCAGGGGCACCATATCCCGGCCTGCTCTACACGTACTGTCAGAGCGTCTCTGTCGTTATGGGATCACTGGCGAAGAGAATATCTGCAATTATCCATGACAACATACGGACATCTCTCTGACAGACAACATAGGACCGGCCGAGATCGCCGCAAAATAATGTCACCTTGGCTTTCACTACCAGAGGGTTCGCCAGGCCCAGATGACTGTTTCAGTGTGAAGTTTAGGAGAAAGGTTTTGAGCTGTTACAGAACCGCCTGAATCGGCGCATCATGTGGTGAGTGGTTTGACTGTACCCCACAGGGTCTGACTGTATCCCACAGGGTATGACTGTACCCCGCAGGGTCTCGCTGTGTGTCTGCATGCCCCGCAGGGTCCGACTGTATCTGCTGCCCGCAGGGTCTGACTGACCTGGTGCTGCCCGCAGGGTCTGACTGTATCCCATGCCCCGCAGGGTCTGACTGTATCTGCTGCCCGCAGGGTCTGACTGAGCTGGTGCTGCCCGCAGCGTCTGACTGTATCTGTGTACCCCACAGGGTCTGACTGTATCTGTATACCCCACAGGGTCTGACTGACCTGGTGCTGCCCGCAGGGTCTGACTGTATCTGTATACCCCGCAGGGTCTGACTGTATCTGCTGCCCACAGGGTCTGACTGTATCTGCTGCTGCCCGCAGGGTCTGACTGTATCTGCTGCTGCCCGCAGGGTCTGACTGTATCTGCTGCCCACAGGGTCTGACTGAGCGGGCAGACTGTATCTGCTGCCCGCAGGGTCTGACTGAGCTGGTGCTGCCCGCAGGGTCTGACTGACCTGGTGCTGCCCGCAGGGTCTGACTGTACCTATCCCATGTCCTGCAGGGTCTGACTGAGCTGGTGCTGCCCGCAGGGTCTGACTGTATCTGTATACCCCACAGGGTCTGACTGTATCTGCTGCCCGCAGGGTCTGACTGAGCTGGTGCTGCCCGCAGGGTCTGACTGTATCTGTATACCCCACAGGGTCTGACTGAGCTGGTGCTGCCCGCAGGGTCTGACTGTATCTGTATACCCCACAGGGTCTGACTGAGCTGGCGCTGCGCGACTGCTGCTGGCTCTCGCCGTCCGCTCTCCAGGTACTGAATCTCCACCTCCGGCACCTGGTCCGACTGGACCTGGCCGGCTGCTGGGGAGTCAACGACGCCACGCTGGCCGAGCTGTTCTCGGAACAACCCAAGTGAGTGACTCCCTAAGGAGTAGGTTTCCCAGGAGACTGGGGTTTAGGATAGCTGCTGGGGAGTCAACGACGCCACGCTGGCCGAGCTGTTCTCAGAACAACCCAAGTGAGTGACTCCCTAAGGAGTAGGTACCCCAGGAGACTGGGGTTTAGGATAGCTGCTGGGGAGTCAACGACGCCACGCTGGCCGAGCTGTTCTCGGAACAGCCCAAGTGAGCGACTCCCTAAGGAGTAGGTACCCCAGGAGACTGGGGTTTAGGATAGCTGCTGGGGAGTCAACGACGCCACGCTGGCCGAGCTGTTCTCGGAACAACCCAAGTGAGTGACTCCCTAAGGAGTAGGTTTCCCAGGAGACTGGGGTTTAGGATAGCTGCTGGGGAGTCAACGACGCCACGCTGGCCGAGCTGTTCTCAGAACAACCCAAGTGAGTGACTCCCTAAGGAGTAGGTACCCCAGGAGACTGGGGTTTAGGATAGCTGCTGGGGAGTCAACGACGCCACGCTGGCCGAGCTGTTCTCGGAACAACCCAAGTGAGTGACTCCCTAAGGAGTAGGTACCCCAGGAGACTGGGGTTTAGGATAGCTGCTGGGGAGTCAACGACGCCACACTGGCCGAGCTGTTCTCGGAACAGCCCAAGTGAGCGACTCACTAAGGAGTAGGTACCCTAGGAGACTAGAGGTTAGGATAGACCTGGCCGGCTGCGGGGTGTAACCCCGGTATTATCCCTATATTATCTCGGTATTATCGCTATATGGTCCCGTTACTATCCCTGTATTCCAGTCTGGAGGAGGTGAGCATAGTATGTTCAACTTATCTCCTCATATATGTATACGCCACCGCGGGCCGTACCTCTGTTTCAGTATCAGCTGTCCTAACTGCCTGCTGTTTCGTTTTGTTCCAGTCTGGAGGAGGTGGACATATCCCGTATATACGCCACTACGGACCGGACCGTGGCCATACTCTCCTGTCAGTGTCCGCGTGTCCGGCGGCTGGGACTGCGCGGCTGCTGGAGGATCACCGACCACGCCATCACGTGAGTACGACCCGATGGACATAAATACAGAATACAGACTACGTGAGTACGAACCGATGGACGTACATATTACATACAGACCACGTGAGTACGAACCGACAGACATACAGGCCACGTGAATACGAACCGATGGACATACATATAACATACAGACCACGTGAGTACGAACCGACGGACATTCATACAGACCACGTGAGTACGAACAGACGGACATACAAACAGACCACGTGAGTACGAACAGACGGACATACATACAGACCACGTGAATACGAACCGATGGACACACAGACCACGTGAGCACGAACCGACAGACATACATACAGACCGAGTGAGTACGAACCGACAGACATTGATACAGACCACGTGAGTACGAACCGACGGACCCACCGACCCCGCCAGCACGTGAGTAGGCGCCGCAGGGACATACAGACCACGTGAGTACGAACCGACGGACATACAGACCACGTGAGTACGAACCGACGGACCACCGACCCTGCCAGCACGTGAGTAGGCGCCGCAGGGAGGGAACCCACGGCCCAGAGAGGTCCCTAGACACTTCCAGCGTGTTGACCTTTCTGTGCGTGATCTCATCAGACTGTCTAGAAACGTGTAGCTTTGTGTTAACCCGCGCCCGGCTGGGGGTCCTGGATTTCCACGCCCTGCTGGGGGGGGGTGTTTGAACACCCCCCCCCCTTCTAACTCGGCTCCTGGGCCACGTAGCGATACGCGGAAGGCGGCGTTCGAAAGAGCGTCAAAAATAATGAGGAAATCACTTCAGTCAATTTTTTGGTCAGGTCAAAGGTCAGGTCACCAGAGGTCATTGAAGGCAAAATTTCGCCGATTTCCAGGTCGAATGTCGACAATTTCCAAGAAGCCAACGCATAACTCGGGAACCAATAGAGCTACAGCGCCGCGGAAAAGCGCATTCGATAGCCCTATTAACGCCCTTTCTGAGTAATTCTCTCAGATTTGACCTAACGTCAACGGTTTTGCCGGCAGGGGGCAAAAACTGCAAAAATAGCCGATTTTTTCGGAAACAGTTTTTCTGCAATAACTTTTGACCCAAGCATTGTACGAGCTTACTTTTACCGGCATCGTGTTCCTCTCGTCAAGACGCATCGAATGAACTATAACTTGACCTTGAAAGGTCAACTTGAAAATTTGACCTCAGGTCAAGGTCATGACCTGACCGGAAAGGGTCATGTTGCATATCAGTCGATCCGTATCGTCGAGCTGAACACATCTAAGGCGTTTTTATCGCTCTAGCATGCCTCTATCAAAAGTTATTTGCGAAAAACTGTTAGATACCATTCGTGACCTAAGATGACCTCAGGGCATAAACATTGGGTCACGGACACCATTTTCATGTTCAGTGTGTCTAAACCACTTGTAATTCAGTGTTTGGGAGTGTTTATAATGTCTTTCGTCCAAAGGAGGCGCATTTCAATTTTCTCCCATTGACTTATAATGGGGAGGTCGCAAAATTGACCTGACCTTAGGGCATCGATATCAAAATTCTGAGATATACATTTTGTACATGCTATTGCTCTTAGCAATCGCTGAAAGTTTCAAAGCGATCGGTCACTCGGTGTAGCTATGACAGACATTGAAACTTTTTATGAGGTGAGGTCACTTCAAGTGACCTGGTGACCTGACCTTGAATGACCTTGGTCTGAAATTTTCACAACATGTGTAGAATTGATGTATGATAAGGTGTACCAAAAACGGCGGCGCTCCGCGCCGCCGTTTTTGAGATATTCGCGAAAAACCACAAGGGGGGGGGGTGTTCAAACACCCCCCCCCCCCAGCAGGGCGCGGGTTAACGTGGCTGAGACGAGTCGTCTTTGGTAGAAAGTTGAGTGTCGTTTGAACAACGTGCATGTATACAATAGGTTAATATTCACGTTCTGTCTTGAAGAACCATGCTTTCATGGATAGACGCACAATTAGATGAATATCTAAATAAATAGACGTGCCAGTGATATAAGGACGTCAGCTGCTGATCTGAGGGTACCAGGCAGTCCGTCGCGATATTTTGATGAGCTGTAGAGACGTCTTAATAACTCAGAACGTTGTGATGTCCGATGTCAGTATTGTCAGCCCGGGGTGTGTGTTGTGTTGGCTGATGTTCAGGGTGTCTTGACGTCAGCTGATGTTGCTTGGTATGTTCATATTGAGTGATGATGATGTCTACAGGGTGGGGCAGCATAATCGGGAATGCTTTTTGGGCTCTGATCATGAGTAGGCATGGCATTATTTTTATAAATTATATTATGGCAATGAAACGCCCAAAAGTTGTGCATCATCTGACATGACTACATCCATGAGCATGCAACTTCCTGGAAAAGAGCAGCAAAATAGTTCGACGGTGCTCCAAGTGCTTTGCGCGCGCCCATAGACACTAATGTTAAACAAGTAAAACAAGAACATTTTGTTTAAAACCCTGCAATTCCACGTAAAGGTTGCTGGGCAGGTCAACGTGTTATCACGGACGATAAGGATTGTGTGGGGATACTTAGGACAACAGGTTAACGTAATCGTCGTAAAATAACTCTTAGCAGAGGACATACAAGATGACTCACTTGAATATAAGGAAGAAGCACTTGAGCATATTAAAAAGAAACAATGTTCAAAACTTCAGCGACAAAAAATCTTATCACCGACTGGAATACGATAAAAAAGAATGGAATGCCATATAGGGGATTGTATCGAGAATATTCCAGCGGTCATGCAAAGTAAACATCCTGTTGGGGTGATGGACCTATGGGTGGTCTTCAAGGGAGGTGCACGTGGTGCACCCTACTTCATCGAGCCCGGATAAAATGAGCACCTGTGGTAAATACATCCGCACTCTGGCAGACTCACGTGGAGCCGTCGGAAGAGAGGATCACTGACGGTCCAAATCACGTCTTACGAGGACTCTGTCCGTGCTGGTACTGCAGTGAGGACGACATGTTATTGTGTAGGGCACCTCCACCTGAGATGAACCAAAAACTTCTGGTCCTTCAACTCCGCCGATTTAAATCCGACCAAATTCTTTACATGGAGCGTTTTTTGGTAGAAGTTTAATGAACAACTTATCATCAGTAAAAACAGTCTTCAGTGCAAGGTACGAAGCTGATGGGCGATCATGGACATTGACAAGCAGGAGGTTGCACGTGCATGCGCGTGCTTTTGGACCCGCCTTGAGAAGGTCATCGACGCCGAGGGCGGTCAAATAGGATGAGGGATAGGTAAAAGGTGACCGATTGATAGGATGTTGCTAAAATAGTGCTTGGAGCTATATTTTTAGATTCATGACCAAATAATCCCGTTTGATATTTATTCCCGATTATGCTGCCCCACCCTGTACATATGGTCAGATCCAACCGCTATCACACTGATAGGGCTTTATTCACGCCCCAGAATCGAACCCCCGACCCTCACCTCGCTGTACTCTCTGCCGGGCAGATACGTGGCTGAATACCTGCGCCAGCTGACCCACCTGGAGGTCATTGACTGCCGTGACGTCACGGAGCGCACACTGCGTGCTCTGCGCGCGCGCTGTTCAGTGGACCGGCCGGAGCCGCGGGCACACCCCTGGGAGATGGATTACCCCCTGTACCAGATATGACAAGGCCGCCTCATATCTGTACCCTCGCAGATGGAGTATTCCCTGTGCCAGATATGAGTAGGCCGCCTCATATCCATACCCTCATGGATGGAGTAGATTCCCTGTACCAGATATGAGTAGGCCGCCTCATATCCATACCCTCATAGATGGATTACCCCCTGTACCAGATATGAGTAGGCCGCCTCATATCCATACCCTCATAGATGGAGTATTCTCTGTACCAGATATGAGAAGGCCGCCTCATATCCATACCCTCATAGATCGAGTATTCCCTGTACCAGATATGAGAAGGCCGCCTCATATCCATACCCTCATAGATGGAGTATTCCCTGTACCAGATATGAGAAGGCCGCCTCATATCCATACCCCCATAGATGGAGTATCCCCTGTACCAGATATGAGAAGGCCGCCTCATATCCATACCCTCATAGATGGAGTATTCCCTGTACCAGATATGAGAAGGCCGCCTCATATCCATACCCTCATAGATGGAGTATCCCCTGTACCAGATATGAGTAGGCCGCCTCATATCCATACCCTCATAGATGGATTACCCCCTGTACCAGATATGAGTTGGCCGCCTCATATCCATACCCTCATAGATGGAGTATCCCCTGTACCGGATATGAGAAGGCCGCCTCATATCCTTACCCCCATAGATGGAGTATTCCCTGTACCAGATATGAGTAGGCCGCCTCATATCCATACCCTCATAGATGGATTACCCCCTGTACCAGATATGAGTTGGCCGCCTCATATCCATACCCTCATAGATGGAGTATTCTCTGTACCAGATATGAGTAGGCCGCCTCATATCCATACCCTCATAGATGGAATATTCCCTGTACCAGATATGAGTAGGCCGCCTCATATCCATACCCTCATAGATGGAGTATGCCCTGTACCAGATATGAGGATTCGTTAAAGAGTTGCTACAGCTGACTGGATCGGGATCACCCGCCATACCGGGTTTGAAAGGCGCTGTATTATCATGGCGTCCTAGAGTGATCACTGTTAGTGATGCAACGCCATAAGGTGGCTCCGTATAGTTGGATTGTGACGTCATAAATTGAATCTACATAGTTGGAGTTGTGACGTCATATATTGAATTCTGGTAGTGAGACTAGTGGCGTCTCATTATCCAGCGTTGGTGGTTCGTACTAGTGACGTCATGAAGTTGCCGGTGATAGACTATTTGACGTCATACACGACGCCGCAAAGTGGCGAAATGTTGACGTCGTGAAGTGGCTTCCTGTGATGATCGCTGGCAGACTATTTTATCACATTTTTGACGCTGAAGTTGTGATAGGGAACTACGGTTTGATACCCTGTGACGTCACACGGTGTGAATCTGTGTCCTGTGACGTCATAGGTGCGTCTTTAGCCGGTGGGGTGGCCTGTTGTGTGTAGGTGTTGATTCTACGGTGAACTGATCTTACCGTGCAATTGTTGGAGGACATAAACGTATTCAGGGACTGAATATAGGTACTTATGCACCTAATTCTTGTAGGTTACTATTCAACAATTGAATATTTAATGTCAATGCATATATTGTTTTATGTTTCGCTTATTCATACATTGAATTTGCATCTTTATGCCTATCGCTGAATGATGTGCGTGATATGTTTTGGATTTTCAAGTGTAAACGAATTATGTGCAATCAACGTTCAGTCATTGAATGCACACTTATATTGTACATTTTTGCATTACAATGTATTCAATACTAATTGAATGTGCATGCATGCTTTGATTTGTGTTGGTGTTGAATCATGACCAGTTAATGTCTTGGTCAAAATATTTGATGTGTTGTCTAAATCGTGTTACCATGCTCCCTTTTCATATTTTTTCATTTCACTGTGATAACTATATTTGGTAGGAAACCATGAAAACGCCGCTATCAACAGCCACGGGCGCAGTCTCCATGCTAACCGAACTGTATCGTTCGATTCGACGATCTTGGTTTTTAACCCTCGCCCGCACATGGGGGGGGGGGGTTGCCACCCCCCCCCCCCAGGTAGTCTTTCTGCTCTGCACTCAACATTTTTAGAGCTATAGGACTGATTTTTCGTATAGCTGCTCCTCTATCCTTACTTGATGTCCACTGAAAATTTGAAGTTTCTGTGATTTTTGGTTTCGGAGATATGACCTTGTTTTTCAGGTCATGTCATGACCCAAATGGCCAATTCTCAACATCTTGCGTTTGTCATGGGCCTTGTGAGCTTTTGACACCCTGATTTCGGCCTTTTTTGCCAGTCTTACCGTTACCTCCCACCTATCATGGAACATGTTGTTCGACGATGCACAGGGGTCAAGGTCAGGGTCAAGGTCAACCTAGGTCATCTAAGATAATTGCGTTTTAGGCAAGCTGAATTTACTTTTTGTGAAGTTTTTTGACTGCGTTTTTGGTAAAAGCTTCTCAGATCATGATTTCATGTAATATGGACCCAAAAACAATCGGTGCACACATCGGTATACACACAGACACACACAGACATACAAACACATATAATTGACCTTGACCTAACTTGACCTGAAATGACCTCAGCAGCAAAATTATGGTCGGTTAGTGTGAAAAAGAGGTTCTAGCTGGCTTGGCACCAGAAAACAGCATCGTCATCGGTATTTGATAAGCAGCGCTCTTGATATCCAACGGTGACCCAAAACAGCAACATTTTTTAGTTTGACCTGACCTGGGAGGTCAATGACTGACCTGAGAAGGTAAAACTGGGTATCATTGGATTCGTCTCTTCCCAAAGAATCTTTTTGGTCTTTACCGCTAAGCTCTATCTCCAACAGGAACGAAATGGCGCGGGGGGGTGGCAACCACCCCCCCCCCCCCCATGTGCGTTCTTGGATGGGAAAATGGCATGTACCTACGGGCGAGGGTTAATTCCTCCCTTCGTATGGCTTAGGCACTCGGAGCAATTTTCTGGTTTCAGGCTTTCAAATGGTTGCTTTCTCAATTACTATAGCGTGACAAACCTAAGAAAGAATGGATTCAAAGCGCAGCCGCCGTACCTAGATGCACGTGCCTTTATATTCCGTTAAATATATCAGAGAACATTTCTCTCGCGGTTTTTCACACAAGTTTTCTCCGATCCGTACATTTCCAGTGATCAAAACACGTGCAGAGTTATTCAGGCGATTTAACTTATTACTTAACCCTCGCCCGCACATGGGGGGGGGGGGTGGTTGCCACCCCCCCCCCCCCCCCCCAGGCAGTCTTTCTGCTCTGCACTCAACATTTTTAGAGCTAGAAGGCTGATTTTTCGTATAGCTGCTCGTCTATCCTTTCTTGATGTCCACTGAAAATTTCAAGTTTCTGTGATTTTTGGTTTCGGAGATATGACCTTGTTTTTCAGGTCATGTCATGACCCAAATGGCCAATTCTCAACATCTTGCGTTTGCCATTGGCCTTGTGAGCTTTTGACACCCTGATTTCGGCCTTTTTTGCCAGTCTTACCTCCCACCTATCATGGAACATGTTGTTCGACGATGTACAGGGGTCAAGGTCAGGGTCAAGGTCAACCTAGGTCATCTAAGATAATTGCGTTTTAGGCAAGCGGAATTTACTTTTTTTGAAGTTTTTTGACTGCATTTTTGGTAAAAGCTTCTCAGATCATGATTTCATGTGATATGGACCCAAAAACAATCGGTGCACACATCAGTATACACACAGACACACACAGACATACAAACACATATAATTGACCTTGACCTAACTTGACCTGAAATGACCTCAGCAGCAAAATTCTGGTCGGATAGTGTGACAAAGAGGTTCTAGCTGGCTTGGCACCAGAAAACAGCATCGTCATCGGTATTTGATAAGCAGCGCACTTGATATCCAACGGTGACCCAAAACAGCAACATTTTTTAGTTTGACCTGACCTGGAAGGTCAATGACTGACCTGAGAAGGTAAAACTGGGTATCATTGGATTCGTCTTTTCCCAAAGAATCTTTTTGGTCTTTACTGCTAAGCTCTATCTCCAACAGGAACGAAATGGCGCGGGGGGGGGTGGCAACCACCCCCCCCCCCATGTGCGTTCTAGGATGGGAAAATGGCATGTGCGGGCGAGGGTTAAGTAACTAAGTTCATATCAGACTATAGCTGATTGATATTATCAGCGCTGTGGAGTCGATGGATTTTCGATGACTCCGACTCCGATGCCTCCTTAAAAAATTCAACCGACTCAGACCAGAATTGTCGGCTCCGGCCGACTCCAATTCCGACTCCACAGACCTGGCATGACCGTGCGCAGTCGATGGATTTTTGGGGACTCTGACTCCGCCTCCGTTTTCCAAAATCGACTCAGACTCCGACTCCGGTCAAAACTGTCGGCTCCGACAGACTCCGACTCCGCAGCGCTGAGTATTACATGATAAATTTATTTTTGAAGCACATATTGAAATCTTCTTTACGATTGTTGGCAGCAGCCGTGTTCTCGGAAAGATATTTCTCAGGAAAATATACGTAAACGCTGACCGCTGTGCCGTATTTAACCCGCGCACCGACGGGGGGGGGCGGATATCCGCCCCCCCCCCCCCACCTGAGGTTTTTCGTAGATAGCGAAATTTGGTACGACTATTCTCTCATCAATTTTACACATGGTGTGCAAGTTTGAACCTCCTAACTTTTAAGGTCACGTCACTTTGAATGACCCAACCTCAAGTCACTTTTTTGCAACTTTGTCACCGTGCCAGAGCTACAGTAGATGTCGGAGGACTTTGAAAGTCGCAGGATGTTAGGTATAAGGTCATTAGTAGCTACAATTTGTTTATCTCGAAATTTTGATATCGATGACCTAAGGTCAGGTCAATTTCTCGACCTCCCCATTATAAGTCAATGGGGGAAAATCAACTCCCTGTTTTTACCACTAAAACTGGTCGGAATTGGCCCATAAACCATACGTGACTTTATATAGGTACGATCAGCCTTCACTACCTTGAGGTCTGTTTTGCTGTTGGGCAGCTGTAAGGTCATGTGACGTCATCAAAGGTCACCAAAGTTTTTTTTTTGCCAATAACTCCGTACAGGAACAAGATACAGCCGTGCGGATGGTCTTGTTGTGTTCAGCTCGTCAAGGCGCATCGAATGATATACATGATGACCTGAGGTCACGTGACTTGAGGTCAACCTTTGACCTTGACCTTTCGAGGTCAACATATATAGCATTCGATGCAGATTGACAAGAGGATCTCGATTATGCCCTTAGTTTGTTCCCATCTTGAATAATTCGAAAGTTATTCGAGAAAAACTCCATATCTAGCGCCGCCATTTTGACTTGTTCGACCCCTGTGACGTTATCTTTGACCTGACCTGAAAATGACCTTGGTAAAAATTGTAGACCTTGTCCGTGCGTATTGCATGCCGTTTACCGCTTGTCGCTATCTTGCTTCGTTCTCGAGATCTCGGGGGGGGGGGCGGTCATCCGACCCCCCCCCCCCCCGTCGGTTCTAAGTTGGCGCAGACCCCGTCGGTGCGCGTGTTAATATGCGTTCCCGCCTGCGTATCGGTGCGTTTTGCACGGAAAAAAATTGCACTAAATGACGTTAACTGGCAAGTGTTGTATCTGTACACTGTCGTCACTATGTATGCATTGACTTTGGTTTATTTATGTTTTTTTTTTTTGCAACACAAATATGAATATCCTTTGCGTTTGGCGTTGGCTGCTCAATAGGTATTATTTTTGGATGAAATCTGAGAAGTTACAGGCTGGTCCGGGGTGTGTAATGTGTGTGATTGATAAAATACACTAATGGCACTGACACGCCGCTTGGCTCTAACTAAACCATACCTATTATATCTCTGATTACCCACAATGTGCAGACACCGCAGTAAACTCAATCACAATCGACATGGGCGGTTAGGTACTAAATTAATGTACATTGTCTACATGCATCCACACGCATCGGTCCACCCGTCATGGCGCTGACGCAGAGCGCCGTCCGTCCTGTCTGCACCAATATTCCCAGACCTAGCCCGTATCCGTCTGTCTGCTCCATTATTCCCAGACCTATCCCGTATCCGTCCTGTCTGCTCCATTATTCCCAGACCTATCCCGTATCCGTCCCTCCTGTCTGCTCCATTATTCCCAGACCTATCCCGTATCCGTCGGTCCTGTCTGCTCCATTATTCCCAGACCTATTCCGTATCCGTCCTGTCTGCTCCATTATTCCCAGACCTATCCCGTATCCGTCGGTCCTGTCTGCTCCATTATTCCCAGACCTAGCCCGTATCCGTCCTGTCTGCTCCATTATTCCCAGACCTATCCCGTATCCGTCGGTCCTGTCTGCTCCATTATTCCCAGACCTAGCCCGTATCCGTCCTGTCTGCTCCATTATTCCCAGACCTATCCCGTATCCGTCCTGTCTGCTCCATTATTCCCAGATCTATCCCGTCTCCCTGTTGTCCCCGTCAGTCTGACGGTCACATATAGATATCACACAGGACACACATGACTGCGCTGACACATCCACTGAGCCGATCTGTAGTGCGCCTGACGAGGGTTTTAGCTGCTCTTCCGCGTATCTATCCCCCGGCCGACGGTTTAGCTGCTCTCCGGCGTATCCCCCGGCCGAGGGTTTAGCTGCTCTCCCGCGTATCCCCTGGCGAGGATTTAGCTTCTTCCCGTGGAGACATCTCCACCGGTGATTCGCCGAGCTGATCGATATGCGCCGCCTGGCCGGTGGCGATCGGCCGATGTGGCAATCGTCTCTCTCACGGCGCCGAGGACGGACGGACGGGTCTGTGTGACTGAACTGACGCTAAACGGAGTCCTGAGGACGTCTGGCTGTCAACGGGGTGCTCTGCT